TATCCAAGATCAAGGAATATCTGAAGTCATTAATTTGCTTCTGTGAAAAGTCCAGTGGCCGTCCCTCTGCAATATGTTGTGCCCATTTCACAACAAAGACACCACAGTCAACTGAATTGGATTGTTATTCAATTTCAGTAGATGGAATTACATAATACTGCCATTCTTTCCAATCAATTACTTTGCTTTGGCTGACAAACACACACTCTAAAAAATTAGTAAACCTTGTGATCGCAGTTAAGGCACCAACACCATTATACAAAGAGTCAAGGTAAACCATTCTCTTCTGTTTCATCTCAATGACAACAAGGCACCAGTGATCCCCATGCAGTACAGGGCACAGGATTATGTCTGATGTTGGAAGATTCTGATACAGTAAGTCATATTTACGCTTCAAAAAGGTATTCATTGAGAAATGTGTCTTGTTGTTGTAGACATCAGAGTTGACAGTAGAAACATTGTCTTACTGGCTTGAGACTGATTTTCTATCAGCAAAAAAAGATAGTCCATTACAAAATAAGAAAGTTTTCCTTCACTGATCTTGTGTTTAGCTGGAAGGAGCTTTTCAACATCAGTTGGCTCCCATGCTTTAACTCTAGCATGTCCTACAATTTCAACCCCAGCCATGGCAATCCCTTCTGCTTTTCTGATAGATGCTGTGTCCAAAGTGGAATATTTCCAGGATACACTTCCAGTTGAGTAGCAGTCTTGAAAATTCCAGGTTTTCCAGCTTTTGATGTGTAGTAACCAGGGGGGATAGAAGACTTGATAGGAAACATCTTTCCTTTTTGGGTCTTAAGGGGTATTTGGGGTTGACAATTTTTTTTAACCTTTAAATTGCTCGACATTGTAGAAACGTGTCTAACCTCTTGCACGTCTTCAATGTCATCTTTCTCATAGAAAAGGAGGTATGCTTCTTGGCTTGTGGCTTTCAGAGCTGAAGACTGGCGGATAGTGGCATCACTTGAATAATACCACTCGTCTCCTCTTTTGAAGTAACAAATGTAATGACCAGAGGAAATCTTGGTGCCTTCATGGACAATGACAGCTTTCAGTTGATATGAGACATCAGTTGCTGTGGTTCCTTTGTCTGAAGAGTTATGGTGTTCCGGAAAAAAAACTTTCTCCTTGTAATCTATCAAGTTGCCAAGCTTTTTACCATCATTTTGAAATCTTACAATCTGAATGCACAATGACGGAGGGGATTGGCATGTGAGCAACCTCTTCCATGCATCAGTACTTTTTGAGCAACTGATGGAGTAAAAATGGAACAGAAATAATTCAACATTTACCAGAGGACAAACAGATTACCTAAGGCCAGGTTGACTTACTTTTACATTTTTGAATAAATCCTTTTTTTAATAAACATAACAAGTTGCTTGTTTATGTTGTTTTTTGCTTGTGTATGTTGGTTTGTGTTTGAGTTGAACATTATTGCACTTTTGTTACCTGCTACAATAATAAGATGATTCCAGTTCCACTGGGTGGGAATAATCCTTCAAGAAGCTCTGTACAGTGCAACCCTTTCAATTGAATAAAGAAAGAAAAAAAATTAGGACAGGAAAAAGAGGGAATAATAGCCACCAGTAATTAGACATATAACTTTGGCCCATTGAATCATCTTACCTGCAAAATGTATCTCGCCAGACTTAATAATATATTTACTAGAAATATGTGTATCACAGAACCTCTTGAGGCTCGGGGAGGGGGGGTGGGGAGGGTGATAAAATGTAAGGGATGGAAGGGGGGAGAGAATTGGAATACAGTGTGTAAATTGAATTGAAAAGCAGGTTTCCACACACTCAGGGTCTAATATTGGAAGGTGAAGGTGAGATGTACTTACTATCCTTTGGATAAACCACTGCTCTAGCATCAAAAAGAATCACATGGTATTTCAATGGGGTTCCTAAGTTGCATTTTCCTGTTGTCAGGTTTGTGTCAACATTCAACATTCCATTTTTTAATGTAAATAATTATTAAATTTTGTTGAATTAGCAAAATCAGGATCAATGACTTTTATTGTGGTCTGCCTGGTACTAATTTTTTTTGTGTACTTAGGTATTTGTCTTTGGGACTGCCTTCAGAGATGTAAAATGAAAAAAAATAATTCTTCATAACATTTATTCATACCTTTGTGATATGTAGTGGGAGAATAGTTTCCATTGTAGTGGTAGAAGTGACACTGCTACATGATGAACACATTACTTCACTCCTAAGCTCAAAGAAAAAGGATCGCAGAAAGGCAAGGTTGCAGTTGGCAGGAATTAAATTTTGACTCTTGTACTGGTTTGCAGTGTGTCCAAGTACCCTACAAAATTCTTGAAAGAACTCTGCTGCACACTGTTGCTGGCCCTTTTGAATTAGGCTACTAACTTGTGGTAGACAGGAAACCAGTGTTGCTGGGCGAACTATTCCAGGCACAGTCCCATACAAGTTCAGAAAATTGAGAGTGCTACACAGCAAGCACAACCGACCTAGAATAATTTGTGGATTATGGTAGAAAAGCCTTTGTGTCAGGACCTGGCCAGGAACACGACTAATAATATATGTTGAGTTTCACTTGTGCTTTAATGAGAACCTTTTATTATTTTCAAAACAAAGCAATAACACATCGCAAGTATAAGTTTCCTTTTGTCCTTTGTAAGAGCAACGCAGCGTCTCAGTGCAGTCAATGGTGGAGACATGCATAGCTTAGAAAAGGAATTCAGAGAACTTAAAGTAAGTCCGCCGACGCGAAGAAAGACTGAGTCAAACACTACAGAAACGTCTGATAGAAATACCGCTGCCTCGTCCCCGTCGCATTTAGATCTCTTCATACGAGACCTGGATGAACGAAAAGGCAAGCTACCTTGCTGTCATGAAGTCACTGAAATTCAGACCAGTGTTGAAAGGTTTCTTAAAGTTCTTCTACTGGCAGCAGAAAAAGAGCTACCATTTTACAAAACAACATTTGTTAAAAGTGGAAGTTTCTACGAGGGAACGAAAGTCGGGAAACCCGACGAGTTCGACTATTTTGTTCAGTTGGATAACTTGTCTCGTCCTGAGGACATTCGCTTTGAGGAGTTATCACATTGCATGGTAGCAGTGATTCCAAGCGATTCTGCTATTAAGAAACTTATAGAAACGAAGAAGAAATGTTGTAGTGATTCTCCTTTCGTCTGTGATTCTTTTGAATGGAAGAGAGACGTGAAGTCACTGTTTATCGGCACACTGAATGGTTTATTAGCCGAGGAGTTTGTAGCATTCGGTTTAAAAGCTTCAGAGGCTTCTCTGAGCGGGTTAGACAGACATGGGCCTGCTTATACTTTAGAGCTCGAATGGGACGGAGGGCAGCTTTATAAAGGATTAATAATCAAGATCGATTTGTCTGTAGCAGTTAAGATTAATTCTCATTCTTCAACAATGGCAGTAGATTTTGAATCTGGGGCTGGTAAGGTCGTGAAAACATTATTAGATGCTTCACCAGCATACTACTTCGCAGTCAGTGGATACACGGTGTATGATGTTCTGCCATCTAACTTGTTCCAAAACCTTGAAGAAACACAGGAAGTCAGAATACTCAGTCAATCTGATTGCCTTTTACGTATTTCTCAGTCATGTCTTGAACAGTCACTGTTCCGTGTCCATTTTGGTCCTGATGGAGGACCAAGTGTTTGTCTCCGGGTGCTCAAGGTACTGCGTGACATGACACGTTTACTTCATAGGGGTGGTTCCTACCTCTATTTGAAGTTCAATTGCAAAAATTTAATTGGTGAAACTGCCTGGGAATTCATTACAGCCGAATCAGTTTCTAGTAACTGGCAACGTGCCCAACAATGGAACTCCGGGAAAGTTGATTCTGAACCGGACAGTACCAGATGGATTTCTTCATATGCGCTTAAAACCCTAGTTTTGTTTGAATGGAGTGAAAACCCAGAGGGCGAGCAATGGACTGGGAACAACCTTAGTCAGCGTCTTGTGAACATAGTTACTTGCCTTCTTCACATTCTGAAGTGCTATGAGGGTTTGAGAAGCTTTTGGTATAAAGACTACAATGTTCTACCAGATGCGTTTGTCCCACCAGAAGCCATCAACAGGGCTACCATCATTCTCAGATTTCTATTATCCTTAGATAATAAAATTAATGAGTATTCTTTTGAGCAGTGTATTCAAAATTACACGACTTTGATGACCGTGGCCTCTCAAAAACAAGAGGTGACCCGTTTCTTGCACCATGCTCTCACAGAGCTTTTTTGTGATAAGATAAAGAAGGTTCTACGAGAATCAGTAGGGGAGAGAAAGAAAAAGACTTTCACCCACATACTTCCCAAATTATTGAGAGGTGATATTTTCTCTGACTTTGGACCGGAGCCTAGAGTGTTTACTGGCTTCTACATTCAAGCCCTTCTTAATAAAATAGCTCCAGAAGAGGAGTTAATTCTTTCATATTATTCAGAATACGATAAAGAATCGGTATTCGTGTTCGAAACTGAAATTCTTACTAGCGAGGAAGCTAAGGGGATTGTTAAAAGAGCAAGAGAACTTTTTCGGGAAATTGCACGTGAAAGAATGAACACACTTGGCACTGATTTACCAAACTACAGTCTCTGGTCACAGGTTTTCAAGCCTGATGAGATGGCGAACCTGTTAAAACTGCTGTGCGAGATATTTAAAAAAGATCTTGAAATCCTGTGGAATAAAATCCGCAATCTCAGAGAGGAAGTAAGGACACGTGGGGAAAATGGGGTGGAAACGTGAGATTCTATTGAGACTTGTCTATCTAGACATAAGTTAACTTGAGATTTTCTTCAGCAATCTAAGGCCGTGAATATAGTACATTAATCTCTGCCTTATTCATCATACAAAAACAGAAAGGACCATGGACAGCGTCATCGGTGAACCGGGTTGTCCGTTTATTTGTGTCGATATTTTTTTTTTCATTGAATGAATTGACTATATCTACAAATTAAAGATTCGTGTACAGACAAATGCACACCTTGATTATGCATAGTGTAACTGTTTTTTTTCCCTCAATTTTAAAGAAAAAAGCGACTATTTTAATAAAAGTGGTCTTCATCAGTATTTGTTAAGCCGGAAAATTTTAATCTTGCACTACATTGAGCCTGACTGATTACCACAATGAAACCTTGAAAGCCTTTGTCAGGATTTTCGACAGTTCTTTAAAGTAGAGAGGGTGGTCTGGGGTTACGCTTCCCCTGGAATTTTTAAGATAGAACACTTAGAAACGCTGTTTCCAGCGTTTCTGGGACCCAAGAATCAGTTTCCCAGGCAACGCTGGAGTTCACTCAAATTCTCTTTAAAAATTAATTTCTTTCTGTTCAAAAGCCGTATTTTGATCGTCGATACGGGAAATATAAGCTTAACCTTGTAAGTTCGGGTTTTTTACTGTAAGGGGAAAATTATCATCATGCCCGTAGACTTTACCTAACCATGTTTTCTCTTGACCTTCAGGGAAAAAAATTAATCATTTTTTCTCCCTACTTCTCCAACAAATGAACAGTATTCGACCAACACGTGTAGTGTGTCTTGCCTGGGGATTTCCCTTTAGGTCGAGCACTGAATGATAACAAAATGGTCACTTCAATTTCGCTTAAATGAAAAGGGAAACCAATCAAACAGCAAAGAAAAAAAGGAAGTGTGGCTGATTTGAAGAATATAACTACTTATTCTGTTATCCTCTAGTCAGTAAGTTCATGAGCTGCTTAAGTAAAAAAAAATATGGTAATTAAAAAATAAATAAATGAATAAAAAATATTGGCATCAAAGTACCGGACATAGAATGGCAAACGACCGGACGAAACGTCCGGCTTCCGGCATCAAACGAAAACCCTTCCTTAAATATTTGGTATACCTTCAAACACAAGTCATTTGGACAGGATGTGGTGTTTACCCTCTGTCCTGAAAAGTATATATTATGCAATTTTGTATTGTTCTTGGGTCTTATTATTTGTAAAGAAACAAAACGCAGACCGTGTATTTTTATTCATTGGCCTAGATACAAAAATCCAGACTTTTTTTTAGGGTTTTTAGAGTCAAATGGGATTTTTATAAAATAACAGGATTTTTAGAAAATGTTAGGACTTTAGACGACAATGTTTAGAAAATTCAGTTTTCATGTATTTGGCCTCGGTTATGCCACATGAAATGTTAGACTCTACTAAGTGCTTATATTGTCGTTATCGCGTTTGTTTGAAAGCTAGCTAAAAGAAAAAATGTAAACGATCGATAAACGAGACCAGCCACTTTCATTTTCTAGTAAATAAATTGCCATTTTGAATAAGTTTAAAGGTCTTTGCATGCAATTTAACCACAGGACCTGTGGTCAAATTGAACAGGTCACAAGAATCCCTCATTTTATGCAACTTATGTGATTATTTCGAAAACATAAACAATTGGGATAAATCGGGATTTTCAGGATAAATTGGGAGATTTTTAGCGATAAAATTGGGCTTTATAGACATTTTTTGGAGAATTTCTGAATAGATTTTTAGGCCATTTCAAGATTTTAATTAATCTGGAATCACAGCGGAGCCATACCGGCAACCCGCCAAAAGGGTCATCAAAGCGCGGCAATTTAGGTTAATTTTCAATTACGTTGTTGGCTTATCCCTTTCTTAGACTAACTATAGAAAAAAATTATTTCTTCACATCACTGAACTAAATTTCTCGTAGATGATACCGTATTGTAAAGCAAAGCCCTCTGATTCCTCTACCTTATGTCAGACAAAAATGATTCACCAGAAACCACACCTGTCGTTACTCGTTATCTCGTTACCTCCTTTATGAGGGTCTCAATGGTTCAGCAACATTCTGAGACAGAATTCATCATACTGTCAAACCTGTATTACCGGTCACCTTTGGTGAGCGTCGTTCTAAGGGGCCGTGCAATAATTATCAGGAGGGGGTTTAGCATATAAAGAAAGGGGTAACATGTAAGTTTTTCTTAGAAGAAGCGGTTAGGTTGTATCTAATTTTCTTGTGGGCCAGCTGACTTTAAAATTCAAATAACACTTTTTTTTTTCAGTATTAAACGATAATACCATAATATAAATAAAACATAGGACATGATTTGTGTGCCATTAATCGTAAAAGTGATCAGGAGGGGGTTAGCACTAACCTTGCCTTTGTTGGCTGGGGAGGGGGCACTACGTAATATTACTCTAAGCCTCATTTTTCCTGATTTCCTTCAGGATAATTCGTTATCAGCTTAACTCGTAATAGTGGTTAACAAAATTGAAAAGTCTTGAATACGATTCAGTTTCTGATGACTTTAAAGATAAATAAATTACATTTGGAGGTTTCTGTAGAACCACTCTCTCGGACACCGCTCGTGAGTCAGCATTAATGCGACCTTCAAGATCACTGACGTTTTTGGATGAAAAATAGATTACAGTACCGTCCGCATAAAGAATAATATCACTCCCCAAATGACAATCCGGAAGATAACTTGCATATAGATAAAAACAGTAGAGGTCCCAATATGTTGCCCTGTGAAACACTGACAGACAATTCGGTCGGGAGTGTGCGCATCTCCAACTGATCTGATCTGTCCTGTTTGTGAGGCACGATCTAAACTACTGGCGGGAGTAAGCCTGTGTAATATGAAGTGATGATCTACGGTATCGAAGGCCTGTTAGAAGGTCCGGAAAAACAGCTTCAGAGTCAAACAGCCAGCGTCCATATCCTAAAGGATGTTGTCAGCCGTGAAAAGAGCCAAAGCTATCCCCGTTGATAACTTAGGTCTAACACAAATTGTTTGGAAGTAATTATCTTATTGTTCTTAAGATGATCGTATAGTTGGGTGTAGACCGCTTTTTCTAGGATTTTACTTCTGTTTGGCAGAACAGTAATGGGCCTGCTGTAGTTGTTTTCCGAGTTCGCAGTACAGTGATCACCTTTTCAAAAACCGCAGCATGAAGCCATGTGGTTTGACTTGTGGTTCGTAGAATTGTTAATCAATTTTGAACTATTTTTTCTTCTTTTTTAAATTATTTTTTCCTTTTCTTGTGTCGTATATTGGTAGTTTTTGTACTGTTAACTGATAAATAACCAGTTATTTTTTACTTCCGTTTGTCAAAAATTATCTTGCTGTTTACTGACAACCGGGTATCAATAACAAAACTGTATAAGGCATATTTTCAAAATTCTATCCAATCAAAATTCCACAATTCGAGTCTGTCGTGATGCTTAAATAAACAAAAGAAAAGCGGTCCATATCAGAATTCAGCCGCATCGCATGTGAGATTTTTCTTTGTAATAGCCACGCGCCGAACCACAGTCAGTGTTGGGGACATGAATAGCTTAGAAAATGAATTTAGAAAACTTGACGTGTGTCAGTCGAGCCGACAGGAGGATATATCAAACAGACAAGAAGCTTTTGCTAAAAGCACTGTTGGCGTCTCTCTGTCGCCTTTAGATCTTTTCATACGAGACCTGGACGAGCGAAAAGGCAAGCTACCTTGTTGTCAAGAAGTTATTGACATTCAAATCAGCTTAGAAAGGTTTCTTAAAACTCTTCTTTTGGAAGTAGAAAAAGAGCTCCCTTTTTACAAAACAACCCTTGTTAAAAGCGGAAGCTTCTACGAAGCAACGAAAGTCGGTCAACCTGACGAATTCGACTATTTTGTGCAGCTGGATAATTTCTCTCGTCCTGAGGACATTTGCTTTGAGGAACTACCACATTGCATGGTGGCAGTGATTCCAAGCGATTCCGCTTTTGAGAAATTTATAAAAACGAAGGGGAAATTTAGTCCTTATTCTCCTTTCGTCAGGTATTTTCAATGGAAGAGAGATGTGAAGACACCGTTTATCGACTCATTGAGCAGCAAATTAGCCCACGGGGTTGTAGTGTTCGGTTTAAAAGTTCTAACTCCCTACTTAGACATATATCAGAGAAATGGCCCTGCTTATACTTTAGAACTCGAATGGCAAGGAGGGCAGCTTTATAAAGGATTAAAAATCCAAATCGATTTGTCTTTAGCAGTTAAGATTAATTCTCATTCTTCAACAATGGCCGTCGATTTTGAATCTGGAGCTGGTAAGGTCGTGAAATCATTATTAGATACTTCACCAGCATACTTCTTAGCAGTAAGTGGATACACGGAATCAGAATATGATGTTCCAACATCAAACTTGTTCAAACAACTTGAAGAAACAAAGAAACTAAGAAAGAAGGACTCTGACTCGTCAGTGTCATTAGACAGTCAATCTGATTGCCTTTTACATATTTCTCAGTCATGCCTTGAACAGTCACTGTTCCGAACCATTTTGGTCCTTATGGTAGACCAAGTGTTTGTCTGAGGGTACTCAAGGTGTTGCGTGTTTCGTACATTTGATAAATTTTGGTTATTCCCTGGTTTGACCTTTTATTGCAAAAATGGAATTGATCAAACTGCCTGGCAATTTATCACAGCTGAGTCAATTTCTAATAATTGGCAAAGTGTTCAACACTCCAAGGAAGACGGTGGGCCTGAACCGTACAGTACCCGATGGATTTCTTCATACATCCTTAAAACTATTGTGTTGTTTGAATGGAGTGCAAACCCAGGGGACGAGCAGTGGACTGGGAGCAAGCTCAGTCAGCGTATTGTGAACATAATCACTTGTCTTCTTCACATTCTTAAGCGTAATAAAGGGCTGGGAAGCTTTTGGTATCACGGCTACAATATTTTGCCACGCGACAAAAAATATGAACTGTTCCTGCCCGAAGCCATCAACAGGGTCACCATAATTCTCAGATTTTTATCGTCACCAAGAAAACCTAACAAGTATTCTTTTGACCAGTTTAGTCAAAATCTTACTTCTTTTTTTGTTGAGTTAACCTCTCAAAAACAAGAAGTGACGAAATTCTTGCACTTTGCTCTGGAAAACATTTTTCATGATAAAATAATGAAGGTTCTGCGAGAATCAATAGGTGAGAGAAAGAGGTTGGGAGTAGCTTTGAACTTTGATTTTGAATTAGGGCAAGAAGTGTTTAGTAACATCTACATTCAAGCTCTTCTTAATAAAAAAAGCTCTAGAGGAGGAGTTAATTCTTTCGTATTATTCAGAATACAATAAGGAACCGGAGGTATTCGCTTCGGATACTGAAAGTCTTACCGAAGAAGAAGCTGAGGGAGTTATAAAGAATGCAAGAGAACTTTTTCGGGAAATTGCACGTGAAAGAATGAACACACTTGACACTGATTTACCAGAATACGGTCTCTTGTCACAGGACTTTAATCCTGATGAGATGGCGAACCTGTTGAAGCTGCTTTGCGAGAACTTAAGAAAGGATCTTTAAATCCTGTCGAATAAATTGCGAAGTCTTAAAGGAAAAGCAAGAACACCGGGAGGAAATGGAGTGGAAACGTAAGATTCTAGCTTTACCTCTCCAGTTGCGTCCTGTCTGATCTAAACATGAAACGGAGACTTTCGCCTTCAATAATGCATTCCAACCCCATTATACGATGACTGACAAGACCATATCGGGACAGAGCCGTCCATATCAACGGGGTGTCTCTTGAATAGAGAGATTAAAATTCACGTTTACCGCAAACGGCAAACGTCAGACTCAAGTTGAGAATTTGTCAGAATAGAAAATAAGCAGATAAAGAAAGTCCCGAACGATTCCTATGGTTAAAACGGCCATAAAACTACTTATTTTTATTTAGAAGCAATAAAGAGTAAACGGAAAATAAGGAGAAAACTTAGTCACGTGGTACAAATTCACTTCTATCCTGCGTCTACCGTTTGGCGTAAACATGAATCTTAATCTCTCTATTTTCATGTCATTTCCTTGATCTCAAAGAGTATAGACAACATTGTTGTCTAATTGTGTCTGCATTTATTGAATAAATTTAGTCAAAAAAAATCTTGTACAGACAACAAATGCACACCTTGATCATATATCGTCACTTAATAGATGATATCATTGGTCTGATCATTCTTTTAATATCTGCCCCGAAATCTCTTTACAAGATCGGTCGTGATCAATGTCGACATAATAACTTGTCTAATATGAGGGCTCGGGTTTTTTCAGCTATCTTGAAAATTTAATTGGTGACTAAAAAATTTTGTTGACTTTTATTACTCCGAGATCTCTAAGCAAGTTCAAAACAAGACTCTAAGCAAGCTTAATAAAAGACTTAAGCTAATCGGCCTCTCAGGAAAAAGAGCCCTGAGCTTTCGGGGAGTAATTGCTACATGATACTTTGCCAAGAGAGACGATGCTGTATAAGAGAAAAATGAACTCTCTAAAAGGTCAATGTTCACAGGTATTTTTGTCAGTATTTTTTTTTAGCTATTACTTTACATCCTTTACATTTTCTACGAAACAGTCTTTCATCCAAGTCGAGCCGAGGCGTTGACTTACTAAAAGCGAGTTCCATACTGAGTATGATATGTCTGATATCCGAGATACAAGCGGAAAGAGGAGATAAAAATTAGGTAGCCAGTTCATTTTTAAGAGGAGATTTTCACTAAAATAACAAAACTCTGAAAGAAGCCTTGACACCAATTCTATAACAAAGATTCATGCCAAACTATTGTTACATATTTTAGAGGGCCTTGATCTTTAAGTACATTTTCTCCTTGGGAGTTAAAAGTAACACAGCTCTGTGCTCTAAGACGGGCACTGTTTCCGGGGCTCGTTCGAACTTGAATCGCTGCATGATCTTGAATAACCCTTGCTTAATTTCCAGTAGGGCAAGACGCATTTCTATACACTGACGGGGACCTGTTCCAAACGGGAGATAGGAGTACGGGTCTCGCTTCTGCTTTGCCTTGGGGGAGAAATTGTCGGGGTTAAACTCCTGGGGCTTGTCCCAAACTTCCGGGTCATGGTGAAGAACGTACGTGGGGATATTGACACCAACACCCTTGGGAAATCTCTCTCCCTTGATGACTGTCTCTTCTGCGCACTCCCGTAAAAGCAGGAATGCAGGGCCACTGAGGCGAAGGGCCTCAGATATGACTTGATCCACGTACACTGCTCCTTGGACGATGTCGTAAAGGGGCTTGTCACCACGTGATGCCAGTACTTCATCGATTTCCCGGATGAGGCTTGAGGCTTCCCGGATGATCTTGAATATCAGGGTGCGAGGCCAGATAATATGCAATGCTGGTTAAGGTGTTACCTTTGAGAAAGTTATAAATATATATAAATTTTACGCTCGGTGAATAATAATGTTCCCACCGGGATTGCGACGAACTGCGAGTGGGGCAATTTTTCTGCTAACAGATCGAGCTCAAAAATCAAAATCACCTTTTACTATCTATTAGAATAACAACTCAGGATGCACTCGATGTTGCTGAACCTTGCCGTATGCAGCTATAAGGGTGTCATGACTTTTTTCATCAGTTCCCCGATCCCTGAGGGTTTGAAACCCTAACTCTTTTTAGGACCAAAAAAGTCCTAAAATACCTACCCTTGAATATATAGTCTCGTCATTTTTTTTAACGGTCACTTAAGATCACTTTTGAAAATATATGCTGAATAGCATACGAAACGTCAACTTTATAAAAATGCGTCACAATAGGGCCGTTTATACGAGAGAAAATAAGTCGCGGCTTACTCTGGTCCCGGCTTATATAAGCCGCGAACACCCCGTATAAATGGTACAAAATCTACGTTGACGGCTTATTCAACCCACGGCTAGTTCAAGCCGCGGCTTATCCTGGTCGAGGAGGTTTGGGTTGGGTTTATCCAAGCCGCGGCTTACCTTGAACGTGAAAGTGTTCTCATAGACGGCACTAAAACGTTGTCCGCAGCCTGCTGAAGCCGTGAACGATTGCTGCAGATAAAGCCGAGTAGCTCTGGGGCCAAGCAGGGGTTTTGCAGCCATGAAGGACAAATGCTTACGCAAATTTTCCTTTTACTCGCTGTGAAGTGACCTCAATTCCAGACCTTCACAGCTTAGAGACGCGCGTTGCAGAGGCGGAAAAGTGACCTGCTGCACGAGAAAACTCAAAATTTTGTCTAAACAAAACCTCATCCATATGCATCTCTGGAACATCTCTTTCAAACCACTCGATTGATCGCTGACGAACTTTTTGTCGAGGTTTCCGCACAAGTTTCGCAACAGCGAAACGCTAATCTTGAACGAAATGTTAATTTAAAGAATGCAAAATATGGCGATTTTTTAGACCAAAGCCAATCGTTTCGCTTTTCGCAAATTACGCGTGGCACCAAAACAAACTACTTCATCATTGGACCGGTCTGGCCGCGAACTAAGCCGTGAACCATTTATACCAGCAGTTCGCGTCTTATGTAAGCCGTACTCGTATAAATGATTCCTTTCGCGGCTTATGTAAGCCTCGGCCCGAGTAAGCCGCGACTTATTTTCTCTCGTATAAACGGCCCTAATGTTTATCACCGGACCGCTGTTTGTGTTTTATTTTTGATCAAACTACGATGGCCCAAGAACAAAAGTCTCTATGATACATGTCCCGCTTAGGACAACACCCTCATTTTCATTACCTTTTTAAATGGAAATACCCTGACACGTTATCAGGCATTTCTTTTCTGTATACAAAATTCAATCAAGGAAATAAAATCAATCGTGTAGGATATACCCTTTAAGTTTAACAGACTCACACGAAATTATTTATCCTGTTTAGGACAGACTCACTCGAAATTATATACGCCGTTTCTCGGGAAAGAGATGTCAAAATCCATCCCCTGTCCCAACCTCGTTCCCAGGGTTCTTTCCTACCCGTTTCTGCGGAGCGAGAGAGAATCTGGGAACGAGGTGACCCCCCAATCGAGCGACACATCCCCGTATAGGCCAAAAAAGGGAGTACCCCCCACCCCCACCCCCGATAAACGGTCTACATACGGTGGTGCGAACAAAGGTTTTGCCCATAAAACAATTCTTATTCCATGATGGTAGTTTAAATAACTACTTACTTCTGTACGTACGGTGAAGCCAAATGAACCAGGGTCATGAGGTCTGAGGTAAAAGGACGATTTTACTCTTAAACAGTAGTCTTATAGTCCTGTTGTGTGACTTGTTGACAGCGACTAAGCCTGTGGCTGGCTGTTGTGAGGTTGTCCTGAAACAAAAGAAATGCGAGTCGGTTGGAACGCAGCCACATCGCAAGTTATCAGTGCCGCTTTGTTCTTTGTAAGAGCAACGCAGCGCCTCAGTCAATGGTGGAGACATGCATAGCTTAGAAAACGGACTTAGAGAACTTAATGTGAGTCCGCCGTCGCGAAGAAAGAATGAGTCAAACACTGCAGAAACTTCTGATAGAAATACAGCTGCCACGTCCATGTCGCATTTAGCATGTTTAGATCACTTCATACGAGACCTGGATGAACGGAAAGGCAAGTTACCTTGCTGTCAAGAAGTCACTGACATTCATACCAGTGTCGAAGGGTTCCTTAAAACTCTCCTTTTGAGAGTAGAGAAAAGCCTTCCTTTCTACAAAACAACACTTATAAACAGTGGAAGCTTCTACGAGGGAACGAAAGTCGGAAAACCCAACGAGTTCGACTATTTTGTTCAGTTGGATAATTTCTCTGGTCCTGAGGACATTCGCTTTGAGGAGTTATCACCTTGCATGGTAGCAGTGATTCCAAGCGATTCGGCTTTTGAGAAATTTATAAAATCGCAAGAGGAATATAATCGTTCTTCTCCTTTCATTTGTTCTTTCCAATGGAAGAGAGACGTGAAGTCACTATTTATCGACACACTGAATAGTATATTTGCCCAGGAGTTTGTAGCATTCGGTTTCAAAGCTTCAGAGGCTTGTTCGAGCCGGTTAAACAGACATGGACCTGCTTATACTTTAGAGCTCGAATGGGACGGAGGGCAGCTTTATAAAGGATTAATAATCAGGATCGATTTGTCTATAGCAGTTAAGATTAATTCTCATTCTTCAACAATGGCAGTAGATTTTGAATCTGGAGCTGGTAAGGTCGTGAAATCATTATTAGATGCTTCACCAGCATACTACTTCGCAGTAAGTGGATACTCTTATCTTTACACCGTTCAATTATCAAACTTGTTCAAAGAACTCGAAGAAACACAGAATCATAGAATAACCGATCAATCTGACTGTATTTTGCGTTGTTCCCAGTCATGTCTTGAACAGTCACTGTTCCGTGACCATTTTGGTCCTGATGGAGGACCAAGTGTTTGTCTCAGGGTGCTCAAGGTGTTGCGTGACATGACACGTCCACTTCACAGGGCTGGTTGCAATGGCCATATGGAGTTCAATTGCAAAAATGGAATTGATGAAACTGCTTGGGAATTCATCACAACTGAATCAGTTTCTAGTAACTGGCAACGTGTCCAACAAAGTAACTTTGGGAATGATGAATTTGAACCGGACAGTACCAGATGGATTTCTTCATATGCACTTAAAACCCTAGTTTTGTTTGAATGGAGTGAAAACCCAGAGGACGAACAGTGGACTGGGAGCAACCTTAGTCAGCGTGTTCTGAACATATTTACTTGTCTTCTTGATCTCATTCTGAAGCGCAATGAAGGGTTGAGAAGCTTTTGGTATAAAGACTATAATGTTCTACCAGATAATGAGCAAGGATATGTCCCGTCAGAAGCCATCAACAGGGTCACCATCATTTTCAGATTTCTGTTATCCTTAGATAATAAAACTAATGAGTATTCTTTTGAACACTGTATTCACAATCTCACGACTTTGATGGTGTTGGCCTCTCAAAAACTAAAAGTGACCAGTTTCTTGCAGAATGCCCTCCAAAACCTTTTTCGCGATAAGATAAAGAAGGTTATGCGAGAAGTAGTAGGTGAGAGAAAGAAACGGACTTTCAATTACAGACCTCCCAAGATGTTAGGAGATGATTTTAACCTTGATTTCATGTTAGAGGATAGAGTGTTTGTTGGCTTCTACATGCAAGCTCTTCTTTGTAAAATAGCTCCAGAAGAGGAGTTAATTCTTTCACGTCATTCAGGGTATAAAAATTTCCCAGATCCACTCATCTTTGTGTCGGAAACTGAGTGTCTTACCGAAGAAGAAGCTAAAGGGATTGTAAAGAAAGCAAGAGAACTTTTTCAGAAAATTGCTCGTGAAAGAATGAACATACTTGACAATTTACCAGACTACAGTCTTTGGTCAGGGGACTTTAAACCTGACGAGATGACCAACCTACTGAAGTTGCTGTGCGAGAACTTTGAAAAAGATCTCGAAATCCTGTGGAATAAAATTTGCAATCTCAAAGAAGAAGCAAAGACGACTGGAAATGTAGCGGAAACGTGAGATTCTAGGCTTACTTCCTTGGGTCCTGTCTATCTAGAAATTAAAATGAGGCCGCGTTTTATAGTACATTCTAACCCAATTAAGATTAACACCAACACTGAGAGGACCGTGGACCGCGCATCTTTATTTATTGAACGTGTTGTCCTTGAAACCACGCGACTTGGTGAACATTTTCATGTCATTTCAAGTCAAGGAGAGTATAGATAATGAACAATTGTCCTCTATTTGTGCTAAATTTTTTAATTAAATAAATTCATTTTTACAAATTAGATTATTCACCTTGATTCATGTACAATGTCAATGTAAACTCTTCTTTTTTATAGGAATATATTTCAGAAGATTATCGAGGCTGAAATTTGCGAAATTTTAAGAATAAACCTGGGGCTGAGAGTTTGAAAAGGACCCAATTTTGTGTTTGAAAATCTTTAAAATATTACAATTTATGCTTTTAACTTAACCGTAGAAAATTATTCCTTTCACTAAACGGCAAGAACACTGGTAATTAAAACCCCAATAGATTCTAAAGCGGAATCGTCATAAGTTACCTTTTATAATTAAGCATACAGTTGAACCTCAGTCTACAACGGCCACCATGGAGACAGAAGAAAGTGACCATTGTAGAGAGGAGGCCGTTGCAGAGAGGTTGAAACAAGAGCCGGTGAATTGTATGGACTGTCCGCCAAAAAATAGCCGTAGTGGAGAGGTGGCCATTGAGGAGGTTTGACTGTAATTCAAGAATATTTTCAGCCTAAAATCGGCAGAAAAATAGGAATACTCAGCCTAGGCCCGAAAAACAAAATTCTTATATAAAAACAACAACAATAAGCTTTATTTGCATGACTATAACAAAGGACAGTATTGCAAAACTACTTGAATTTAATTATTGATTCCTTTTTAGATAAATTATTTTTAACAACTTTAAATATAATAATCATTGCTTATTTTCAACCATCAGTAGGATTAATTATTCCGGAGACAAGTTTGTCTTTCAATTCAAAGCAAGTTGATATAAAATGAAATGAATTGGATGTTATAAAAAATAGTCAGTAGAATTCATTAGATGTGATAATAAGTTCTCATGTGATTGTAGTCGTAGAAACGGTATTTTAGGTTCTAGTTTAGAGGAGAACATCTCTCTTATCGAAGAAAAACTTGACCGTGAATCTTATAAAAAGTGAGTTCCATCTTCAATTTTGTTGCAATTGCAGAGACTGCATAACCTTTCCTCACGTGGTATATTGTCGCTCAGCATTCGACTGGGTTCCAAGGACAAAAGCGAAGTCTATTTGTATTAGCCACCTTCAAAACTGTTCGTCTTGTTCCCTATGTTCCCGCTCTTCCCATTGTTCCCCTGTTCCCCCTTGTTTCCTCTGTCTCCCCTCTTCCCCTGTTCCCCTCTTCCTCTGTTCCCCCTGTCCCCTTGTTCCCTCTGTTGCCCCTGTTCTCACTGTGCCCTTTGTTCCCCCTATTCCCCTTCTTCCCCTTGTTCCCCTGTTCCCCCTTGTTTCCTCTGTCTCCCCTCTTCCCCTGTTCCCCTCTTCCTCTGTTCCCCCTGTCCCCTTGTTCCCTCTGTTGCCCCTGTTCTCACTGTGCCCTTTGTTCCCCCTATTCCCCTTCTTCCCCTTGTTCCCCTGTTCCCCCTTGTTTCCTCTGTCTCCCCTCTTCCCCTGTTCCCCTCTTCCTCTGTTCCCCCTTTCCCCTTGTTCCCTCTGTTGCCCCTGTTCTCACTGTGCCCTTTGTTCCCCCTATTCCCCTTCTTCCCCTTTTTCCCCTGTTCCCCCTTGTTTCCTCTGTCTCCCCCCTTCCCCTGTTCCCCTCTTCCTCTGTTCCCCCTGTCCCCTTGTTCCCTCTGTTGCCCCTGTTCTCACTGTGCCCTTTGTTCCCCCTGTTCCCCTGTCCCCCCTGTTCTCCCTGTTCCCCCTGATCAGGAGCCTATTGATGGGCTCCTACCCTGTTCCCCTTTTCCCCTTTTATTGAGACAGCTTTGAAACTTTTCAACTTTGGAGCGTCTTTAGTGACGTGGTTTAAATTATTTTACTCTAATATAAGCAGTTGTATCCAAAACAATGGTTGGTCTTCTGAGGTCTTTTCTTCGAGTAGCGGAGTGAGACAGGGATGCCCGCTCTCCCCCTATCTCTTTATTCTATGCGCGAAGGTCTTGGCCAACGCCGTTAGGAAGGATGAAAATATTCGCGGCATTAATATAGCCAACGTTGAGTGCAAACTTTCACAATACGCTGACGATACCACAATGATTCTAGACGGCTCTAAGCTCTCCCTTTCAAGAATCCTTCTTTTACTCGATAATTTCGCAATCTCATCTGGATTGAAAATCAACTATGAAAAAACCGAACCGCTCTGGATAGGTTCTACCCTGGATGCCAGAGGCTTTTCATCGGTGGTTTTCGGTTTCGGTCAAGTCTTAAAAAGTGACCCGCGCGAAAAGCTTCATTCTACCGAACGGAAAAATCTCTATCTTTGCATGAACCTATCTACCCTATCTACCCTGGGTACCAGTAAAACTCACTTTACTTGCACCTTTCCAGGAATAACCTGCTACATGGATTACAGTCTGGTTTTCGAAAAAAAAAACATTCAACCGAAACAGTGTTAATTCGATTATTAGACCAATTGCTTTTTGTTATTGACAGCAATAATGTGTCTGGTCTTGTGTTGATAATAGTAAGGCCTTATACTTGATTAATCACGAACTTCTCATAACTAAAGTGCGGGCATACGATATCGAAATTGGCCTTTTAAACAAGATGCGTGCCTACCTACCATTAGACCTCTTTACCCTGAGTGGCAGTAACCAAAATGCGAATTTCTTGCCACCTGCTGCCTATTGAATCTGGGCGCTACAAAAGATACCCTGAGTTGAGAGGCTTTGTCCCCTTTGTAATAGATCCGAAATTGGTGATGAATTCCACTATTTGTTGAAATGTACCCACTCATCACTTTCTCATATAAGGGGTATCTTCTTGGAGAGCCTATACTAGATAAACAGTAATTTTACGAATATGTCTTGCAAGGCACTATTTTTATATATCATGTCCATGTGAGATCAAAACATCTTAAATCTTAGTGCCTCTTATATTGAAAACATTCTAAATTCTTATGCATCCGAACTCTAATTAAACTTTCTTACCATACGAGTAGCGTAGAAGCCTCACATAGCCAAGTAATTTTTTCTTTTACGATAATATTCAATTGTTCCTTTCTTTCTTACTTAACTTTTATTTTACTTTTTTCATTTGTTATTGTTTTGGTACTGAAATCTTCATGTCGAAGATAAAGTCAATAAAGTTGTTATTGTTATTGGTGGAATAAAATCCGCAATCTGAAAGAAGAAGTAAGGACACCTGGAAATGAAGCGGAAACGTGAGATTCCGGCCTTAACTCCTTGGGTCCTGTCCATCTAGACATCAAACAGGACTCATCTTCAATCTGAAGCTGCCAGACTCCAACCCCCATTGATGCGTCAACGGGGTGTCTTTGAAACCAGCCCCTGTGAATATTTTCATGACATTTCTTCGATCTCAAGGAGTATAGATAACGGAACATTATTGTATATTTGTGTCTTTATTTATTATTCTCGGACAGAAAGACGCACACATTGATCATGAACAATGTTTCAACCCCATTCCCAGAAAGCCCTGAGGACGAGCTGTCTTATTTTTTTTTTTTTTGGAGGGGGGGGGGGGGGGGCAAGGGGGTTCTTATGTTTATGTTCTTGGTTTCGAAGATAGGTGCAATGCTAATAAAACTGGTGTTATTTAGCAAGACATGAAACCGCACCTTTATTGTAACCTACTAAATTTCCCACTGAGCATTGAGTGCTTTCTGAATACAGTTATTTTAATTTGCTGTTGTTGTTGTTGTTGTTGGAAGACATTTGGCTTGCACAGTCATGTAAAAACCAATAAGAAAATGAAACGCCGGGAGGCACTTCCACATCTGGTCTACTTATAAGGGCGAGTTCCTGGCAGTTCCTGAAAAGTGGAGCACTGACAATTCTATACTATGCAAGTTGTGCTAATTTCAAGACGAGTATTTTCTAAAACAGGGTTACTTAGTAAGTAAAATATCAGCAAATCCACAGCATCAAACCAGTGAGTGGTGCCGGATCTTCCAGTTGTAGACCTGGATCAGTACAATTAAACTTGTAGAAAAATATGAAACGGTAAACTGATCCTTAAGGCAAGGCAATGGAGAAGTAAACAAAAGAATAAAACAAAAAATATATATATTTAACCAAATTGCCGTAAGGATCAGTTTGCCGTTTCATATTTTACTTAATATGGTCTTTTTAAAGGTTTAGGATCTCAAGTCTTCGATAGTATCCCTATGGGGTATAAGTACTCCCTCAGTTCTCAGTTAAGCAAACACCCCAAATCAAACCTCGTTATGTAAGCCGACAACTATTTCAGACGTTAACTCTTGCAATGGCAGTGCAGAAAGGAGAAAAGAAACAAGAGCGAGGACGAAGCAAGGATGAATCATTAACAAATATTCATTTATCAATCTTTCTTTATTTGACCCAAAATCTCTTTACAATAGGTTTGATCAATGTAATTATAATTCGTCTAACAGAATTAAGCTCCCATTTTACTTTATTATGGGCCCCAAATGAAAAAGTAAGCTAAACAGGTTTTCTCAGCTGTACTTGAAAATGTAACTGGTGATTAAAAAGATCGTCGATCTTTTGCTGAATCCGAGATACCTTTAAGAGAGAAAATATGATACTCTAAACAAATCAACCTTTCAAAAAAAGAAACACTGGCCCTGAGCTGTGAGAAGGTATGCTACTAAAACATATGCCTACAGAAAAATTAGGAAAACAAATACTAAAAAAGGTCAATAATGTTCACAGGTATTTTCAGAATCAGTTGAATTCTTGCTTAAATTCTTGCTCAAAACCCCCGCGGGGGGGGACTCCGCATATGAAAGGGGTGGGGATGCTCGTCGGAAATTTTGAATTAAATCCCTTATGGAGACCAATCTGGACGTGGCCCAAGCTTTTTTTGACCCCTAAAAGAGACCATGTCAAGACACAGACAATATATATATTTTTATATTTTTTCCCGTGCAACCCTAAACGAGACCTTCACGGCTAAATATGATGGAGTTTTGCCCAAAACACCCTAAGTGAGACCAAAATCCGAAATTTACACCCCTAAGCGAGACGACGAGCATCCCCACCCCTTTCGTATGCGGAGTCCCCCCCACCCCCGGGCTCAAAACGAGGCGTCGACTAACTAAAAAAAGGTCCCTACTGGATTTAATATTTGAGTCATTTCATTTTTTGGGAAAAGATTTTACTAAAATAACGAAACTGACTGAAGCCCTGACATCAATTCATGCCACACTATTGTTACATAGTTTATGTTTTAGTGGGCTTTGATCCGATCTTCAAACGATTGTTACGCATTTTAGCGAGACTTGATCTTCACATATATTTTCCCCTTGGGAGCCATAATTAACACAGCTCTGTGCTCTAAGACAGGCACTGTTTCCGGGGCTCGTTCGAACTTGAATCGTTGCATGATCTTGAATAACCCTTGCTTAATCTNAACCCCCGCGGGGGGGGACTCCGCATATGAAAGGGGTGGGGATGCTCGTCGGAAATTTTGAATTAAATCCCTTATGGAGACCAATCTGGACGTGGCCCAAGCTTTTTTTGACCCCTAAAAGAGACCATGTCAAGACACAGACAATATATATATTTTTATATTTTTTCCCGTGCAACCCTAAACGAGACCTTCACGGCTAAATATGATGGAGTTTTGCCCAAAACACCCTAAGTGAGACCAAAATCCGAAATTTACACCCCTAAGCGAGACGACGAGCATCCCCACCCCTTTCATATGCGGAGTCCCCCCCACCCCCGGGCTCAAAACGAGGCGTCGACTAACTAAAAAAAGGTCCCTACTGGATTTAATATTTGAGTCATTTCATTTTTTGGGAAAAGATTTTACTAAAATAACGAAACTGACTGAAGCCCTGACATCAATTCATGCCACACTATTGTTACATAGTTTATGTTTTAGTGGGCTTTGATCCGATCTTCAAACGATTGTTACGCATTTTAGCGAGACTTGATCTTCACATATATTTTCCCCTTGGGAGCCATAATTAACACAGCTCTGTGCTCTAAGACAGGCACTGTTTCCGGGGCTCGTTCGAACTTGAATCGTTGCATGATCTTGAATAACCCTTGCTTAATCTCCAGTAGGGCAAGACGCATTCCTATACACTGACGGGGACCTGTTCCAAACGGAAGATAGGAGTATGGGTCTCGCTTCTGCTTTGCCTCGGGGGAGAAATTGTCGGGGTTAAACTTCTGGGGCTTGTCCCAAACTTCCGGGTCATGGTGAAGAACGTACGTGGGGATATTGACACCAACACCCTTGGGAAATCTCACTCCCTTGATGACTGTCTCTTCTGCGCACTCCCTTAAAAGTAGGAATGCAGGGCCACTGAGACGAAGGGCCTCAGATATGACTTGATCCACGTACACTGCTCCTTGGACGATGTCATAAAGGGGCTTGTCACCACTTGATGCCAGTACTTCATCGATTTCCCGAATGAGGCGATCTTGAATATCCGGGTGCGTGGCCAGATAATATGCAATGCTGGTTAAGGTGTTACCTTTAAGAAAGAACGTTACTATTAGCTAAGATGCATAAATAAGGATGATATAACTAAATATAAATTTTAGGCTCGGTGAATAATAATGTTTTCACCGGGTTTGTGACGAACTGCGAGTGGGGCATTTTTTCCTGCTAACAGATCGAGCTCAAAAATCAAAATCTCCTTTTACTATCTAGTAGAATAACAACTTAGGATGCACTCGATGTTGCTGAACCTTGCCGTATGCAGCTATAAGGATGCCATGACTGTTTTCATCAGTTCCGCGATCCCTCGCTGCTCATAGATTAGACGGGAGTCAGGAGCTGGTATTTGAGATTCCATTGGTAATAATCAGAGACCCTCGTCTTGAAGTAATTTTAACCATTGAAATCGAAACAAATACATTTTACATGAAAATTAAAACTTGGACCCACGATCCAATGAAATATTCATAAACACCCCTAAACCCGCGATACGATCATATGAGAAGGTCGATCAGCAGATGCCCCATTTGACAGCTGTCAATGACTTTGATACAGATGGCGTACATCAAACCATCAAAGAACGATGGCATCCCATATATTTTCATTTCGACTGAATGGCCGCTTGGTTTTGTAGATGCGACATTTAACATTGGATTAGTGGGTGGACACACGCCTCAAGGTCACGTGACTTAGAAAAAGCAAGTTTACCCAGGGTGCTCCTTTCGCGCGCGTTTCGCGCGCGGAGCTTCCATGAAACAATATTAAAAATGATCTTCTCATTAGCGAACGTGAACAATAATAATGCCATTAACTTCGGTATAGTTTGGCTAAATTTGTGCTGTGTTATAGGGGCACGAGACTTCCTTTTTCGGTACTCAGGAAATCTTTACTATTCAGTGTATCATATTACCTGTAGTTTCGTAGCCAGCCACAAGAAACGCCACTGACTGGGCCGTAACCTCGTCATCACTGAGTCTACTAACTCCATCGATGTTCTCCTCGTGTGCCTCCAGCATAAGCTGCACCAGGTCCCTATTTCCACTGAAACCCTGCTGTCGTCTTCTGTCAAGGACCTCTTTCTGTACTGCTGAAAAATAATCAACGTTCTGCAGAGGGCTGACGAATCGGCTGAAGTACTCCCAAAATGGAAACATGGAAAAGAATCGAACCCAGAGCGGTGTTTGGAAGACAGACCTGGCTTTCTCCACGAAAACTGGATCTGGCTTTACTTGAATGTTGCTCTCTACTCCGAAGGCTGCTTTCATGATGACGTCCAACGCAAACAAGCTGAACAACTGAACAACTTCCACGCTTTCACCTAAATAAGCAGCATAATATTTGTAGTACCTATAACTCCCGCTAACTCGAATCCTAAGTAATTCGAAGCGCTGATCGTTTGAAACTACTAACTTAATTGAAGAGGCTTATCTCTAACTTGAGGAAAATGAGCTCTGGGTGCATTTTTGGACCCGAAGCCTTTAAATGAGTGTGAAGGTTGGGAATAGACGTCCCCCCCCGGGGAGGGGGGGGGCTCGACCAAAATTCAGGTATAGGTGAGCGCTGAGGGTTTGAAACCCTGACCCTGTTTAGGACAAAAACAGTCCTAAAATACATACCCTTGAATATATAGTCGTTTTCATTAACGGTCACTTAAGATCACTTTTGAAAATGTATGTTGAATAGCATACGAAACGTCAACTTTATAAAAATGCGAAAACTCACGATGTTTATTACCGCTGTTTGTGTTTTATTTTTGATCAAACTACGATGGCCCAAGAACAAAAGTCTATATGATATATACCCTGCTTAGAACAACACCCTCAAGTTCATTACCCTGTCTATTTGGAAATACCCTGTTTTATTAAAAATTGCAACAGAGTAAATTATCACGTTATCAGGCATTTCTTTTTGTGTATACAAAATTCAATCAAGGAAATAAAATCAATCGTGTAGCCTACACGATTGATATACCCTTTAAGTTTAACAGACTCACAGGAAATTAATTATCCTGTTTAGGACAGACTCACTCGAAATTATATACGCCGTTTCTCGGGAAAGAGATGTCAAAAACCATACCCTGTCCCTACTGAGCGAGAGAGAACCTGGAAACGAGGTGACCCCATCCAGCGACACATCCCCGTATAGGCCAAAAAAGGGATTACCCCCCCCCCCCGGATGAACGGCCTACATACGGTGGGGCGAACAAAGTTTTTGTCCCTAAAACAATTCTTATTCCATGATGGTAGTTTAAATAATTACTTACTTCTGTGCGGTGAAGTCAAATGAACCAGGGGCATGAGGTCTGAGGTAAAAGGACGATTTTTGTCTTAAACAGGGTCAGGGTTTAAGCCCCCGCGCCACATCTTCCCTTGAGTGTTTCCCCATGGGATGGGGTAAGGAAATAGCCTGGCATCGACGTGCTTTTTCATGCCAACGATACGTCCCAACGCATACTAATACCGATGCGTAGTACGGAGGCTTTCTAAAGTTCAGGACACTTATAGAGTTAGGAATCCTTTTCAGACGATCACCAAACTTGTGAGGACGGAGGACGAAGCTTTACAATGCATTGATCATTTGTTCTGTCCCACAACAGAGAATCATGATATTTGGGATTCGGCTAGCTTCATGCGTGACTAATTCTGCAAGGATCAAGGATCATCATACCACATTTTGTTAGAGTAGAAAGTGTATTTTGGTGACCTTTAGTCTCAATTTACGTGACCCCCTGAATACGGACACGACACCCACTTAACGAGGACAGCTAGTGCATGTGGTCCCCGTCCCCTTAATGTCCGCATCACGGGGCTCGACTGTATGGTGGATGATGGAACAACCTTCGATCAATATATATATTAGCGTTGTGTAGAGCCAGAGCTTACAGCCGGCGTGTTTATTTTGTCATGCTTGCCAACGTTGCGCAGCCACGCTGATAGTTTTATTATTCCTTACCTGTTTCAGAGAACTTTTGCATTTTCGTTACTAGAGTATTGGAAGCTTCTTCGATGATCGGAACAATCTGCTTTAATTTGGATGCGGTGAACGTTGGAGTGAGCGTGTTCCTGACGCGTCTCCACTTATCGTCGCGGGCGATGAACAGGGCAGAATCGAGGGGCGGTGACGGTCGAACGAAAGGAGGACGATTTGGGAATTTCCAGAACTCTTTTACCGTGATTTGCTTTATCATCTCGGGATCGGTGACCACAATGGCGGGTTGCCTACCGATGCATATCGTGTGGACGCGGCCGTACTTGTAGAAATAATTTAGCAGCATCTTGTGCATACCGCCATATCTTAAAAAATCAGGAAGGTTACCCACCCAAGGCCATGGTCTGGGACCCGGTAGAGGAGAACTACCTAGAATCGAGTAGTAAGAACGCACGCCTTGCCAGTACAGAAACGCCAATATTCCAAGTACAACAGCCACCCAGGTCGAGAAGCTGATGTCCTGTAAGATTTGTAGTGGGTTCTCCATGTTTGCGTGTCCCTTGCGTGAGCTGAACTCTTGTTGTTTACTCTGACTCTCCTTGATATCCCAATGAAAATCGGTGACGTGGACTCAGAGACGTGGATAAGTACACGTCAGTCAATTCATTCGCCACTTTCAAATTGCCCATATTACACCTTGTTTGCCCCCTCAAGTTTATGCATAGGCATTGTTTCTAATAATTTCCCCGGAGACTTACATTTACAACCGTCCAAAGAGAAAAATCCCAAGAATAAACCGAAAACAATGCTTTTTGTAAAATCTGGGTTAAAACCGTGAAGTGATTATAGGCAATTAGTATAATTACATTGATGATTATCGAAAATAGGAGGTTATGATCAGGAGCTTCGCTTTGTCCCGCTATAATCACCGCGCGGTGATTATAACATTGAAGGCTAGCAGTTTTCAAAATGGCAGCCAGATCTTTTGATGTTTCGGAGTCGGAAATTGATGAATAATTTTATTTTCTCGAATAATCATCAGTGTAATTATAGTGTCGGGTCTCAAGGGACGTAATGTAGGATACATTAGAAGCGATAAGAAAAGAGGGACTTGATTTGCATATAGGACAGTGGTGAACGGATTAGTAAGAGGACTATTAACGGAACTAAGGGTGTATAATGTAACCGTTAATTGAGCTCGATTCGCGACTTTACTGCAGTAATTATACTAAAACAATTAGAATCCGAAATTAGAAAAAAAGAGCTTATTTAGTAGCTATATTTCAGATCATATTTCTAGTAACTTTTTTGTATAAAAAGTTACTGAAGTGAAATTTTTGCCCTTGCCAACAAACTCATGATAAATGTACTTCATCAAGCCGCCAGCCTGATGGTTTAATAATAGTGTATTTTTCGTGTTTGCGTGAGCTGAGCTGTTTTTTCGTTTTTTTTACAGGAAACCCCTCCGTTTCTCACTTGACGCACTGAGCCTTAACAACAATAACAACAACAAATTTATTGAAACCTCCCGTTACCGGTGTCGCGCTAAGTATACCTCAGCTTGAATCGTTCTTTTGGCTTATAGAAATAGGAGAGTTTGTAGCGTGTGTGTGCCTACAGGTTACAAGTTTTTTTCTTTTCACTTGAACATTTATTGTTACGTAACAGGAAAGAGAAATTTTTTTAAAAAATTTACTGGTGTAACGTGCTCGTTTACTGAGTGAGTAGTCAACAGAGTCCAGCTTGGCTAGACTTTTTCTACACATGGCCGTGGGAGCGTTTTCCTCTTTTTTCATACTGTACTTCGGGTTGCTTGCACCCAGGTCCCGCCCTGAATGAAGACGTTGTACAGGGGATCGCAAGCGAACAGAATACTCTGAATGGCCTGGTGATTTTTTTTTCTCAACGAAGAAATAGTATGGACATCAGTATCATCACCAATTTATTTTTAGAAGATAGGTTACAATAAGGGCCTGTTCCGCCAGGAGCAAGAAACAGAGTAACCAGGAGCCAATTAACTGTTATTCTTCAGTGGTGATGATCAGGTCAGGTTACAATAAGGGCCTGTTCCGCCAGGAGCAAGTAACAGAGTAACCAGGAGCCAATTAACTGTTATTCTTCAGTGGTTATCTTCAAGAGAAAAGCTACTTGAGCAAGTATTGTTTTGAGGGAAGCCTTCGAAATTTCACAAACCTGCTGATGTTGGCTCGACAGAAAAAAACACGAGGCTGCTGCATAGTGCACTGTGTTTTAATTTTGATCATGAGTTAAAACAGGAAGAAGTAGTTGGCAAGAAAACGAAAGAGAGGGCAACTATCACTTTTGGCCACCCTTGTAAGGAGGCCAATGCTACCGATGGATTTTAATTTCAGTGGGTGGGCCACTGTGTTTAGCGGCATTTACGTTCAAGTTGATGTATTATCTACAGAAAAGGGTTTAGCGTCTCATCTGTCACCTAGACTTTCTGTGCCAGGCTTTGAAAACGTTAGCCAAGAAGGAGCTACGGGAATGGTAAGGGAAGCAAGGAAAGTCTTTAAGGAAATTGCTCATATATAAGACGATCAGCAAACTGGAAAATTTCTTCAACAGACTGCTGAGCCTCTGGTCACAGGATTTACACCTGATAATCTGACTAACTTGCTAAAAATGCTGTCAGTGTAGGAACCTTAAAAAAGACAATAAATTCTTACGGATTAAAATTAATATGAAATTAATTGAAGAAGCAGCAAAAACTGGTAATGTTGTAGAGATCTCTCTCTCTCTCTCTCTCTCTCTCTCTCTCTCTCTCTCTCTCTCTCTCTGAGAGAGAGAGAGAGAGAGATATGCAAAAAGACTAACCCACTTCGGGCAAGTTATTATCATTGAACCACACAAAAAGGCCGTGAAGAAGCTGGAAGAAATGCCTTTCATGGAAAGAGAAAGGCACTTTGAATCATTTCAATTTTAAACACTACAGTGAACTGTTGTAAAATAGATATTTATTCTTCAAGAATATAACCCTTCGTAAGTGAGAGCTAATATTCATGTTCAAATTTCATTGCACAGCTCAGTTGCACAAATAAAATTTCTTTATCATATATATTACAGGCAAATGCACCTTGATTTTGTACAGTGTAACCATTAACATGATAAGGACGTTTTATCTTTCTAAGATGAAAATTAAATGAAAATTGGTTTTAATCAGTATTAACTAGAGCTGTATAATTTAACTAATTGTCGGTCCCTCTATTGAAATCCTCTAATTTCTACTTAAAATATCACCATCAAGAGCATTTTGTGTATGGGTAAACACCCTAAGTAATATTGGATCATTAAACGTTTCTGGTAAACTGCCCTTATACCCCTCCCCTAAGCCAACATTCTACCCTAAGTGATAAGTAAGTGTTAATGTTGGCTTAAAGGAGGAGTAGGTGGGCAGTTTTTTTAGAAATGTAATATTCATGACTTCAGCACAAAATTGACCTAAAATAGATATATCCTCATGAAATTGCCCATTTTTTTAAGCAGATCAGATGGCCATTGCAAAAAAAAAAAAACAGTAATACAGGTTTGACTTGTATAACAGTACACTGGACTTAAAGATAGCTTCTGACTAATATATTACTGGAAGAATGCAGTTAGAAAATCACAGAACCTTGAGATACATCAATAAGGGGGAATGACTATATGGAATTTTGAAAAATTTTTCTGGCAGAACTTGAATAAACAGTGAACTCTCTCCTGATCTAACCGTTCACTTGTAGAAGTGGGCAGAATCAAAATTAGGCAAAAATTCCAAATGTTATCATTAAAATGCTGAAGAACATAAAAGAAACATTTAAAAGTACTGGTACTGCCAAACAGGTCTCATTTGAATGGTCATAGACAAGATTTAGGCATCATTAACTGAGATTCCAAAATTTACTTCTAGATTTTCCAATCAAAAGCACCCCTAGCCTAGAGTATATGTCCCTACCAGGTGATACCAGCAGGTTTCATAGATAAAAGAAAGCTGACTGTTATGTTAAAACACCCTCTACTGCCTACCAGCAAACACTCAGGACAGTCTGCAGATTAATTCCCACATCATGAGAGCACAAAATATTGCGATCTCATTTTAAATTAACTGTCTGTGGAATAATAAATTAATATATTTATTTAAATTCATGTGCAGTAATTTATCATCATCAACTTCAGAATTAATGTAAACGACATTAAATTAAATGAGCAGTGATTCCAGAGTTACACATGTAAAAAAGGTGGCAACCCAAAAATATTATAGGAATAGCTGTTTATGTTAAAAAGTGAAAAAAGTAACCTTCCTTTAGGCTATATAGTCTTAAATCCTGTATAAAAATGTAATCCTCCAAACGTGTCTCTTTCATATTACAGTACAAGTCCAGCATAAAAATAATTTATTATAATGTCACGAAAGAAGGGAATAGGAACATCCAAGGTCGACTGTACAGTAATAAATATAATATTTAATATTGTCATCATCATTAATTTTGCTTCAAACAAAAAACCCTCCTGGTCTAAAAACAAGGCAATACGCTCACATGTACCATTATAAATGGTAAACAAAAATATCTCATAGAAAGCTGCCTGTAAAAGCAGGTGGTCAAAACAAAAATATTAGACTTGAAAGTATGGGGTGCCCAAGTCTTGAATTGCCACGGACAATTACAACTAAAACTTACTAGCTATCTAGAAATTAATTAAAGTGTTACAACAAAAAGTGTAACAAGGTAATAAAGAAGTTATTGTTTTCATTTTTGTAAGGCTTGAGATGCAGTATCTTAAGCAAAATGCCATACATATCCTCTTGGGATATGTATTATTGACAAACTTTATTGGGTTAAATATTTACTTGATCTTATGTTTATGATACTGAGGAGGGCCATCTTGCTCTTGTTAACTATAACCAAGGTTAGAAAATTTTGGCTAAATACACTGTACATTAATGTAGTGTCCAAAAGTCCCTGTTTTATAGTTCAAACATTATAAGATCCAAAATTTATCTCCATTTGGTGTTCCATACTCCCATCTTCTTACACCACTATAAACCACAGTCTTCTCCTTCATAATGTTAAGCAAATAAATACATGTATCTCTCAAAAAACTACAGTGTTTCTTGTCCTGCTTGTTGAGATAGATGAGGCATGCAGTGGATTTGTCGGCAGAATTTTGATCGGTAGATCCCAAGTCATGGTTTCCACATCAACATCAGCTGGACCCTGCCATGTCGCAATGTCCGTATAACGACTTGTAAGTTGCACAGGACTAGCTCCAGCTGGTAGTGGTGTTGATGCAAGTACAAATTCGAAATGAAGTCTCCACCTTAAACATACTGCAAAAAATAAATAAACAAATAAATAATAATAATAATAGATATGTTGCAGATAATTTTTTATTTCAGTTAATTTTTGTTTTTCCTTTGTTTAAAATTCATTAGTATACATTACCATACCCAAAAACAATGGAAAAATAAAAATTACCTAAAACAAACTACAACAGTCACACAAAGATTAAGGACATGACGTGAGGGTTTCACAATGTTGTCACAATCAGTGTCAATAATAGAGGTTTTAACAGTAGCTGGAGATTGGCAAATTTGCCAGTAATTACCTAATCAAAACCTCTTTCTTTGCATTAAGTTTTTGGAACCAGGAAATGCCTGTAGCCATGTTCTAGAAAAGTCTGAAACTATCGACTTTATTTTACTTGAGCAAACACAACAACTTTAAGAGAAAATCTAGTTGTCTATTGTGGGGATATATTGAATTATGAAGTGCTCTCGTGCATGTGTCTGCCCATGCCTGGACCTACACTAACTGAATGCATATTTCCTCTTATTCAGAGAGCATTTTTGGATAGTCAGCATCTCTTTTTATTGGCTTCATTTGAAACCTTCAAATAGAATAGCCAAAGCTGTGCTGTGGCAGCGCCTGCTGGCCACTGGTACCTAATTTTTGCTCCCAGGCCACTAGAAAATTTAGTTTTTTCATGGAAATCATATGCTGCGCACCCTGAATTTCACAGGTTCAGAGCAATGCTGGGCTCCCTTCAATTTCTTTTAGAGCACAGCCTTGATAGTACTATGTAGTGCAATTACGGAGAAATAATATTATTATTTATTTTCACATATTTTAAAGAATGTGGAAAGGCTAACATTCCAAGTGGTATTACCTAAATCTGATACAAACTCTGGACATGCAGTAAAAGGTATTGGTAACACCAAATGAGTTTTCTTGGTATGCAAACAGCTTTCTTGAATACTAGTGAAAGATGAGTATGTCACGTCAGATGATTCTGGTCTAGAAGGATTGCGAGAGTCTTCAGGAATATGCTCCTCACTTTGAAGAACTACTGAAAACTAAAAAAAGCATTTTGTTAGTAAAAAATAGACAAAATTAAAACTTTAATAATTGTTACAAAAAAGGCATGTGAGTAATATAACAGGTGCACTGCACTATACAGGTAATTTTGCTGTTAACAACTCTGCATTTATCCTGCAATTTGCCCATGAAAAAACTACTCTTGTGCATCTAAAAACTATTACTTTTTGTGAAAAGAACAGGACAGTAGCTCTCAAGGTGGGCTAATGAAATCCAAGATGAAGACACATCAATTACCATCCAATTCTTGGGAAAACAATTTATAAAACTAGTATAACAATAATATTATAGTCTTAATTAAGTTTTCTTTATATAATTTTATCACAGGTTTAACTGAATTCTAATAAATGCATGTTAAGCTGATTTCATATTCATGAGCTTGGTCAACAAACATGTACCTTTAATATAATCTGTATCAAAAGGCACAAAAAATTTAATGTGAGATCTCACTTTGCCCATTTAGGGGAAAAAAATCTTGGAAACAAGTAGATAAGACAATAGATATATAATCCACACTTCACAGTTAGCTTCTCTTTTCGACAGACACCATTAAGAACAGTACAACACCATAGTGTCCATGCAAGAGGCCCTGTTAGGGTTAATTTCCAACAAGCGACACAGCCTTGAAACAGCAACATAAGCAGGGCTGTCATTAAGGGCTGGGGCCTGGGGATTTTCCCTGGCTACTACGAGTGTGGCCCCTGGCTGCTTTCATTGAAATATAGAAGAAAAATAGAACTGAAAGAAATCCCTAGCTTTTTGATTCCCAGCCTGCTCATTGTATTTACCCGGCAACTTGAAATCTTAGTGACAACCCTGCATAAGACTGGATGAAATGGCAACAAAGGACATAAAGATGGGTTACATACAGACAGCAACATGGCCTACTCCTCAAAAGGTGAAATGACTTTATTTGAAATTCAGACCCGGGACATGTACTCCAACCCCTATGAGGGCCTCATGCAAGACAGGCATCTGCCTCTTGGAAAAAAAGCCAAAGAAAATGGCCAAAGCTGAGTAAAGGGCAATGACAGACTCAAGGTTTCTGTCTTAGGGAGGAGCCTGATGACTGCAAACCCACAAAAATCAAAATAATATATTACATACCTTTTGGCAAACAATAACAGAATCAGAAAAGTCAAAAGATCCTACAATTTCTTCACCAATCCGGTATGCAGACTTGAAGAGACAAAATTTTCCTACTGTTCCTCTATCACTTACAATATTATATACATCTGCAAAAATTAACCACATTTCAGATAACATATTTTTAGTATCTAGTGAATGATAGAGAACATTTTCAGCTAGGCACATTATGTAATAAAGGTTTGACTGCCTTTTTTTGTGTTGAATGGCATCTACTATACAGTCAGCATGAATAATATTATTTTTGGCAGAGGTTACTTGTTGATCCTGACATAATGATTTCATGCGCACATTGCAAATTGCCAACTAACTGACACAATTTAGATTGAATTGTTTGCTTAATTATGATGTTTAATATTTAAATGCAAACGTGAGATTACTTTATGGAATCTGCACATGAAATCTTGTGCTGTTACCATTAAAATGAAACCTTTTTAGCAGAACTTCTGCATAGTGCTAGTCACCTCTAAACAGTAGAACAATCTGAAATTTGATTTTTTTCTTTTTACAAATTGTTTACTATGGGCACTATTAGGAGTAAAAGGATTTACAAGAGGACCCTGGAAGAAGCAGAGTAAAAAATTAAACTATAAGTGTAAAATTTCCCACTCTGCCCACGGCAATTTTTGACTAGTAAAAGTTCACGTTTAAAAGGCAATGCATACTTACGGGGATTTCTCCTAGAAGTAATTGTTGTTAAAATTTCCACTGCTAAATCTAACAAGGATGTCTTTGGAGAAGAATTTTCTAAAAATGGATTATGTGAATTTTCCTCTTTGTTTAAAAAATGTTCAAGTTCCCCCAGGCCTGAAAAAATGAAGACAAAAACAATATGACTTAAGATCCTTTATTTGTTAGTACAATATAAAAGTTAGGTCAATCAGAAATATTACGCAAATCAAAGGCACATATACAATACAACCTATACCATCAGACACCTTCGAAACACCTGAGTGACCCTAATTATGGACATTTTCTTTAGTCCCAAGTACAGTACCCTGCAATGGGCACCGAATCCTCTCCAGGGACGAGATGCAACACTCCTGGTAGCTCCTGGCCTCTTTTAAACGTTGTATTTTCTGAATATATCTATAATAGTTATATACATATGGGTTGTTTTTCCCCTCATCTTGATTTTAGGGTACTTCATATCATGCATTAAGCTGAAATTTTCCACTGAATGAATTCTTCACAGAAAGTGACTAGATAATCAATACTCTGAGATTTAGTATTCAGTACATGTAAACATGTCTATATGCATGTACAGTAATAGCAAAGTGCGATTTGTACAAACCTTGTAACACCATTATTCTAAAAGGTAGTCTCAGCAAGACGGAATGTCCTTGAACCCTGCTTGTACCAACAGTGATCTTGTATGAATATTTAACGGCATGTCCTTTGTAAGATGGGGCTCCATCAAATGGGATTGTGTCACTATAAAAATCTAAAGTGTAATGTACAAGATGAGTATGAAATTTTTATTTATATCCAATAGAGCTAATCAGTAAGAAAAAAAAGCTAGTGTGTAACCACAGCAAATATAGAGATACGATTGAAAACTTTTTAGTTTTTTAACAAGCTTACGCAACAAGAATGCTCACATCCCAGAATCATGAATGGTATTAACAGAAGTTTGGTTTTTGCTTCAACTTGACAGAAATATGCTTCTGTCTAGCATAATAAGATTGAAAACTTTTGTTTTTACTTCTGGAGCGTAACGTTATGGAGTGAGTTATACCACTGAAAGAGAGAAATGATCAACTTCTAGTTGTCAGGTGTCATAGTGTATCATCACATTTGGCCTTTAACTCTAACATCAAAATTCAAATTCTCATTAATTTTGTTATCCCACCTATACGTTTTCAATAGAAGTAGTGGGGAGAAATTATTTGTTGAAGTATCAATAAAATATTAGATTCATCTTGTGTGATCACGTTCTTAATTGTCTTGACCACTCTGTTTTATAAAGCACTGATACAACAAGGAGAAATTTGACACTGACCACTATTAGTGCTTAAAGGGTTAAAGGGTCAGTAATTCACACTGAGCCCTCAGCATGTATGTGGTTACTGTAAAACCCATGAGCTCTTGAGTTGATCGGCCATCTTGTGTGCAGATTTCCTATTTCTAGCTGTTTCTCCGAGAACATAGCAATAGGATATCAAGGTTCATCTATCTTAAGCCCACTTATTTCAATACATAGCCTTCAGCAAGGGTAATAAGACTAAAGGGGAAATGGGGAGAGAGACAGAGAGGGATTAGCTGATAATGCCAAGAAGAATGACCTCCAAAATGTACATAGATAATAAAATCAATTAATGATTGTAATTCATTGAGTCCCATCTATCCAACTGCTTGATTTTTGTAACTCTAATTTAAGTAGCTGAGATAATAATATTGATAACAACCTTTGGTCTAAAATTATTATTCAAACCAAAGCTTGCTTCTCTTACCAAATCAAACACAGTAATTGACCCCTCAGTTCATAACCCAGAACACTCACATTACAGCATTCAACTCTACGGAAGGAATTTAATGCATTTCTTTCTATCTAATGTTAAAATCAAAATTTCTGTGATGGATTTGATTACAATAAAATAAGCTAATTTTTCACACAGTGAGGAATGATTTTTCTGGAAAACTGAGGTACTAAAAGTAAACAATCAACAGAACCTGGTTTGAAACTCTCTTGATTTAAGAAGGTTTCACTCACTGAAAGGTGTAAGGCTAGACTTGGGACATCAAGATCAAGACATCCACGACAAAAAAATAACAGTCTAAAACAAATTTTTCCCTAATCTTCATGTTCACTGTATACAAAAACTGTGCTTACACTTTCAATGACACCCAATAATAATATCAGGCACTTCAATCAGACAACTGACAACTGGTATGAATGCAAACACAATACTGTTAATTAGGAAACTTTCATTATCCGGCTAAGAGCCAAATAAATTCAATTAAAAGCGTCGTTCATCAAAATTTTCACCATGTTGTTCCCGAGCATTTTTTTTGACATACTGTTTAAAAGTAAAGATCCTGCCAAAACAACCAAAAACAGAAATATCTTTAACGATCAATACACTTCTTTGGGGCTTAATTAGTTTTGATAAAGGACGCGCGCATTACCGATGTTTACCATTATATCCCACATATATTTTTTAACAGTGAGTGTCTGTTATATTTTTAATAGTTCTATAGAAAGTAATGATATATGCTTAAAACAAAGTTGAACCAAAAATCCACACTTACAATTTTTAGATTCGCCAGGAGCAAGCTCCAAGTCACAGAAGAGTATCTTTGGCTGCGTAGACATCAAACATCGTCCTTCCTCACCTTCGAGAAATAACAAGAAATAACTCAAATCAATAATTCACCACCAGCCTGTCACGAACCGGATAGTAGATAGTATACCAACCAAATCAAGTAATAAATCACACCAACGCCGCAACTGTTTTCTAACCTCTCGAAGGAACGAAGCTTGTACAAGAAGAAGTCGAGTTTAAAGTGAATTGATCTGACATTCGATCAGTTCTCGAAGGAAGTTTCACGCGCGATTCGTTTACGGTACATTGACAGTGAATCTGCGCGCTAGCCCAAGCTAGCCTGTCCGTTCCGGAGTTCTCCTTCATGCATTCATTATTGAACGCGTGATTACTAGTCTCGCTGCACTTGCCTTCCTTAATGCTTGCAGTATTCGTGAAAATAATCTCACACTCTATACATTCCCCAGCAAAAAATACCGACCCACGAAGCAATCGAGCTTTCACCTCGATCATAGTTAAAACAGCCGACAACAGCTTGTTTTCTTGCATATATGTACTGCGTCCATGCCAAACGCTAACGTAAAATTACAGCAGATCTTTTTCAAGTGTTTATACATCCGGATTTCTGGAAGAATTCCCGAGGAAATACTCTCTCCTGTGCATCCGCCATTAATTCCACAAGTGAAACAGCAGAACGCTTCAGCAGGAGGTTGCTGACCATGTTGTCTGCCGTCCTGTCTGAGTGACGTACTGTGTGATGGTGTGACTTCTGCTTGCTGATAACGTCTTCCATACCAATGACAGACATTTCTCCACTCTGCAATACAGGTAAGCTCTTATTATTCGTCGACAGTAACTTCTTTTCAAATTCTAACCTGAGATCACCCTCTATTTCCACGTGAAAAGACAATGCTCGAAAGCTGTTAAAATTGGGCATGATCTATCACAGTACACTGTAATGAGACTTGCTACAAGTCAACCTCACAAGTTTCTTTTCTTAGCGAGCGGGAAACACATACGGTATCACTAGGGATAAGTGTTTCCTGACTTTTTTGAAAGTCTACACTGTAATGTAAAAGTTTATTTAAATTCAGAATTGAAAGTGAAATGATTTTCGACTGAATGCATGATCGTCTCCCTACGCTAACGATACAGCTATTTCGAGAAAGGTTGTCGGAAAAAATGTGCACGCGACAATCCCGAAAGGTAACATGGGATATGATCAATACACTGTTCCTGACGATTGTAGATGTCAAATTTATTTGTCAGTGCTTTCCTTTAGCACTCGCAAACATATGCCCATGGCCTCAAGTGCCATTCTTTCAAATTTCTGTGAAGAAAAGTGAACTCAAAACCACCCACAATACCTTTTGGGATTGTCGCGTACACTTTTTCCGACAACCTTTTTCGAAATAGCTGTATGATGTGAAGGCCTCGAGATGGATTTAACTTATGTTGAGGCCCTGCCAGAGGGGAGGGGGGGGGGGGCGGTCCCAAGTTGCCCATCTGAATTTTAAAACGTCTTGTGTCGGTGTTTATAAATGCTTGTCGTTTATTGTCGGCTTTGCCGTCACTGTCGCAATTTGGCCGAGGGAGGTTTTCTCTTGTCGCGATTTCATTTCACGCGCTGTCGCTACTTTTTGGGCCATGTCGCTTGTCGGAATTTACCCTGGCGGGGCCGCTATGTTCCAGCTGGTTTTAATGATTAACAGTCGAGAAAAAATAGTTAGCTACCATATACAATTTTTCGGCCTCGCCAGGCCCAGGTGACTCGCACGCAATTAAATTCCAATTTATCGTCTCTTAACTTTTGTTTGTTGACGTTAATAAAAAGTTATCGCCGTAGACAACCTTGACAACTTCGGAAAGTCTTGAAAAATAAAAACCCTAAGACCTACAAAGGCCTCGAAAGATAGCACCCCAAGATAAAAGGTTCGTTTTTGAGGTTAATTGAAAATATAGATTCGTATCGTCAAAAGGAGTTTCGTAAAAGAGATTCTTATTGTTCAATATATGTCTCCCTTTTCGATTGGTTTAAATCCAGCGGCTAATTAGTCTCGCTTGCGTAAGCAGCGAAACTCATAATCTGAAAACCGTTTTTCTTCGTATTTATGACACAAAAGGGGAGGTCATTGTGCCAGGCGTTCCTAGTGGAGACCGTGGAAACTGGGAATAAGAATCGTTGCTTGACCGAAGCCACGCATCTGCGAAGAAAGCTAAGGCTGCGTGCAAACGGACGCAACAACTCCCAACATTGTGAAAGGTTTGAACCCAGGAGTCATTTCAAAAGGTTGAGTTTGATCGTCCGGGTGAACTCCCAACATTGTTACGCCAACAATGTTGGGAGTTGTTGAGTGCATGTTGGCAGTGGTGTGCAAACAGGTGCAACAACGCCCAACAAGGTTGGGACCTGCAGTGCATCGTGGGAAGGATACAACCCAGAAGTCTTTGTAAACCATGCGTAATGAGCGTGCGCGGCCCCAACGATGCTGGAAGAGCTGTGCAAACGGATCCAATATTGTTGCGCCACGCTTCGGTGATCACGGAACAAGAGAAATGTTGGGAGTTGTTGGCTGAAAAGTTTGACCGGTTTCAAACTTTGAGCAACAACACGCAACAACATCCAACAACATGCAACAGGGTGTGCAAACGGACGCAACATGTAACATCCACCAATGTTGGGAGTTGTTGGCCAATAATGTTGCGTCCGTTTACACCGGGCTCAAGCCCCGTGCACGTTCGTCCATGTCGCACGTCCGTCCATGTTGCGTCCGTTTGTACACCCTGTTGCATGTTGTTGCGTGTTGTTGAGCAAAGTTTGAAACCGGTCAAACTTTTAGCTACGTACAAACGGACGCAATAACTTCCAACAATGTTGGGAGTTGTTGGCCAACAGTGTTGCATCCGTTTGCACAGGGCTTTAGGTAAGATTAAATTTAGAGCGTTTTCGAAAAGTGTCGGTCAACGAATTCTATCGCTTGAAAGCGTTAATTACTTTGGAACAAGTGAACACTACTAAGTGGTAAAAAAAAGATCTTTAATTAGCAAAACTGCGATGGTCGGGTGTTGTAAATTTTCATTGTATACAAATTGGTCTTGTGATGAGCATGCGGTTTATTTTCGGCGACGATTGAAATTACGTGCCATGTAAATCACTTTTTTGATCTCTGACAAAGATGTGATTTCTCTGGAATCGAGGCCCTTGAATTTCGTCTATTCATACACGCGTATAGCCTACGGCCGCACGGTATTTCCGGGCGTCGCTACCACGCCTGCTAAACCATTTCAGAAACAAATAAAAAGTAAATATCCTGAAGAATACCACGACATCGTTAAAGTATGAAGTAAATAAAAAACCTTTAGGCTGCGTGCAAACGGACGCAACAACTCCCAACATTGTTACGCAACAATGTTGGGAGTTGTTGCGTGCATGTTGGCAGTGGTGTGCAAACGGATGCAACAACTCCCAACAAGGTTGGGACCTGCAGAGCATCGTGGGAAGGATACAACCATAAGTCTTTGTAAACCATGCCTAATGAGCGTGCGTGGCCCCAACAATGTTGGAAGAGCTGTGCAAACGGATCCAACATTGTTGCGCTACGCCTGGCGATCAAGGAACAAAAGAAATGTTGGGAGTTGTTGGCTGAAAAGTTTGACCGGTTTCAACCCCCTAGCAAACGGACGCAACATTGTTGGCCAACAACGCCCAACATGGTTGGATGTTACATGTTGCGTCCGTTTGCACACCCTGTTGCATGTTGTTGGATGTTGTTGCGTGTTGTTGGGCAAAGTTTGAAACTGGTCAAACTTTTCAGCCAACAACTCCCAACATTTCTTTTGTTTCGTGATCGCCGAAGCGTAGCGCAGCAATGTTGGATTCGTTTGCACAGCTCTTCCAACATTGTTGGGGCCACGCACGCTCATTACGCATGGATTACAAAGACGTATGAGTTGTATTCTTCCCACAATGCGCTGCAAGTCCCAACATTGTTGGGAGTTGTTGCATCCGTTTGCACACCACTGCCGACACACACGCAACAACTCCCAACATTGTTGGCGCAACAATGTTGGGAGTTGTTGCGCACGTTTGCACGCAGCCTCAAACTTTGCGCAACAACACGCAACAACATCCAACAACATGCAAAAGGATGTGCAAACGGACGCAACATGTAACATCCAACAATGTTGGGAGTTGTTGGCCTACAATGTTGCGCGGTAACGCCGCGGTAAGGGTGTTCTTGTTCTTCCTAACCATCTAGCATTGACAGAAAAAATAATGTTTCGATCAGTTTGTTAATATTCCATGCGAAATCCTGTCGTTTATCGGATCGCGAAAAAAGCAATGTTTTGCTAACTATTTAAGTTGTTAAGTAAGCCTTAACCAGGCGCTTTTTGGCTGCAGTTCACTCAACTTAAATTTTCTACACTGAAAGGACACCGCTTTGAAACTTCACGGAGTCAGATTACTAAATAAATGTCCTAAAATTTGCATCATTTTAAATTTGGACTCGTTGAAATACTTCTAGGGACTACTAACTTACTGCCCGACGTCAGATAAAGGGTTTTAATCAGCCTTTGAATGATTGCTTAGTGTTTGAAGTTGCCAAGTAGTAGAATAACTTTTTGCTAACCCGGTTTTCAAAAATCGAGGTATACCTATACAGTAGTAACAATCAACAATAATTATTAAATGAGACGGAATGTGATATGAAGAATTATGCAGATCGACGAGAAGAATAACACCCTCCGAGATCAGCACAATTCTTTTTTCATAACATACAGAAGCTGAATCCAACAATCCAACCTCAAAACATGCGTACCTCCGTCCGTCTTCAAATCTGGGCGAGTTTCTTTTCCGGCTGGCAGTCTCAGGGTATTGTTCTAGACTCTATTGTAGCAGGCATTCTTTAAATGACAGTCATTCGGAGTTGTTGGCTAGGTCGTCGCTCGGTCGGCAGACCGGCATAGACCCTGTTTTCACACCAGAGGAAAACATGGCCCAGGCCAACGTTATTTAATATATATGCCTCTTAATTCGAGTGCATTGAAAATAGTGCAAGCTTAAGGCAAGGGGCACACATACACCAACCCACAGCCATTACCTCACGCATACGCACAGCCATATCACGCGGGCAGGGGCAGCCATGGACAGCTGTTTTGCCCTCACTTGGGCTTATCAGCATGGCATAGCCGTGGGTTAGTGACCGGGGAAAACCCGTGTATAAAAGTCCCTTTCCTGCCGAGGCCAGTCCTTTAAGTGTCAGCTCCACACAACACATGTATGTGAGAGCTGTTGGATGGGAACCGCACGGCAGTGACCGCACATCCACGACGTGCGCGGGGAAGGCGGATCATGGGTTTGGTGTATATGTGCCCCGTGCTTTAATTTGTCTTTTGAAAACAGTGAACTAAACTGTTCTACTATATAAAGAATTTGAAATCGCGACTTTACACAGCAAATTTTGTCGAGATATTGAAGTTCGTGTTTTTGTCCGAAGTTGCGCACAAGTCATTTTCCGTAAAATTTAGTGGTCTTATAAGTAAACTTT